TCTCTCTCTCTCTCTCTCTCTCTCTCTCTCTCTCTCTCTCTCTCTCTCTCTCTCTCTCTCTCTCTCTCTCTCTCTCTCTCTCTCTTGGGGCCTATCTATTTTTTTCTTTTTTCTTTTTTTTTATCGCGCACAGGGCGCAACTCCCTCAGAGCGCGCACCGCGCACAGCGGACAGCACTGCGTACTGCGCACAGTGCGCGCGCTGTCATTCCAGCGCACAGCGCAGTGCGCACCGCCCCGCCCCGCACTGCGCACTGGTGCGCCGCAACTATGATACATACATACATGCAATGTCATTCATACATACATACAATCATGCATGTAGACATATGTACATACATACATACATGCATACATACAAACAAACATAAAATTGGTTTGTGCGCCCTACCTCAATCTGAGGTTGATGGCACTGCACGCCCCACCTTCCCCGCTCACCTTAAATTCACTTTGTCTACTCCCAAAACAAGCGGCACAAGCACCAGTAATGGTCCCCAGTCGTCCAAGCTACTCTTCTCATGGTTTGAACCCTCACCCTCATTGTCTCCAACCTCTGCAGACCTTCCATGAACATCCCTGTTCTCGCAACCCTCTGCCTCCTCTACATCACTCTTTGAAAACCCACGGTCCGCCCAGTGCTCTGTTGCATTATGCTCCATGCCCCCCCTTTGCTCAGCAGCATCTTTTTGTGCACACACCACTGGCATCCCCGATCCACCAGAGGAATTGAGAAGTCTCTGCCGGCAAAGATCTTCCGCATCGGAGGTACAAAGCACTGGGGCCCCTCCTCTCTCCCCTTCTGCATCCCCAGCCACGACATATACCGTCATTGGAAGTGCAGACTGACCGTTTTCCGTCAATGACAGTGCCTCTATCGATCGGCATAGGGCGTACGGGCCAAGCCACGATCCCGGAGCAAGTCCATGGGGCTTGCCAGCTGCTATCAGATTATGGATCGAAAACGGGCAATCACCAGAGTCATCGTCGCCAAAGCTCCTTACAATGCTGAGATACTCTCCGGCCTGTGTACAGCATGGAAACAAAAGAGCCATTTCCAAACAATAAACTTTCCGGAGACAGAATATCTATCTATATATCGTCAAATAGAACTGCCCGGTAAACCGTAGGCAGAGAGGGAGAAGAGGACAACAAACGAGGGGCTGTGACAAACTGTTTCGTCGGAGTTTCACCGACTCATCAGGAGGCTGAACCATATATATATCGTCACAAACAGAACTGCCCGGTAAATATATATTGTCACATAACTACAAACTAAAAGAGCGCACTTTGCGGAACAAAGAATAAAAGCAAAAAACGGGCACAGTGATAACTTGCAAAAATAAAAATAAAAACAAAAAG